AAGAGAGAAATACTGGGAAGCTGTTTATACCATGTTACAAGAAAGAATGTCTCCTTTCCCACTGTGCTATCAATGATTACAGTGTCATTCATCCATTGACCATTGTTGAGAGTTAATCCCTTACTTTCAAGCTGTTTGAATATATTTAAAATTAGATAAGAGAATAATTTATTATTTGTCTTTTTAAGATAGTTTTAAATTTCTGTCCTAAGTTTATATATTCCATATAACCTTAACCTTATGAACTTTTATGATCAACTCATCCTAAGTTGGTGGAGGTAACAGTTTCAATCAGAAAAATGAAGACATACAGGATTTGAAGATGAGAAAAATATAAGAAAAACATTAGAGACGTGTATTTTACTGTTTGAGAGTTGACATATTACCATTATTTACCAGTTATCTTGGCAACACTCGTCCTAGTTTTAGCACAGAGGTGTTCCAAATCAAAGAACTAGTCCATGTATGTGTGTGTTATGTGTGTTCTACCTTTAGTTTGCCGACCTTCATTATGTTTCAAAGGAAATTACTTGATGGGGACCAGGGTACTTCATAGGAGCCGAGTAAAGTGTATGGCTCCTAATGTGGTATTTGGCTTCTGTAAAGATTACAGCTTTGGAAAACCTACTGGGCAGTTCACTATGTCCTATGAATTGAAACAGATTGGATAGCTATATATATAATGGATTTGAATAAAGAATAGCCTCAAGAAAAAAATGAGGAGAGGTAATCATTTTGACAATAATTCATTGACCTGTTTCTGGCGAGAAATTTTGAAATAATCTCATAAATATGAAAGACTAAATAGTCTCTGGATAAGAAATATGTTTAACAGAAAGAGAAAAGGGTAAACAGTTTTCAGAAGCTTAAAATCCTATAAAGGAAGTGAAAAATTGAAATTTCTTTGAAAGAAACTTTGAAAAGTTTTTTTAAACTTTTTGTAGAAAATGTTTAGTCAATAAAATCCAGATTTATCCACTGTTCAAGAAATTTCTCAGACTTATGTCATTTCAGGAATGATGGGAATTCTCAGTTCAAAGCAAATTAATTCAAAGCCTCAAGTATCTTTCATCAATTATGAAGGAAGTGATTGTATTCTACCATTGAAATAACCAGTATTTTGATAAAAATCTCAGTCCTTTGTTAAGTACACATATCTCTGAATGGATAAAGTATTATCAAGTACATTCTGAATGTGAATGATTTTCTTAGATTTCTTATTAGGAAAGAATAAGAAAACTACAGGATTTTGGGTACATAAAAGTTCTAGGGGAGAATTACTTAGAATGCAGACTTTCTTCTTTATCCCAGTGACTACCATTGAGTCCACAGTCCTAGTAATTCATGTTAGATTATTTTAGCAGGCTTCTCACTGGCTACTGTATTCCCTGAAATCCTATTCATAATTCACATAAACTTAGACTACATTGTAAAAAAAATGCCTTTTTTTTTAAATTTAACTGACTATATGCACTTCAAATGAAAGGAAGAAAACTTTTCTGATTTTTCCAAACATTTAAGGAACACTGATGCAAGCCCTGTTACAATAAAACTGAAGAATTTTATCGTCATTCCCCCCGCATAAAGCAACTGATGCATAACTACTTCTAGCTTAAAATTTTATAGTAAGAAATACATGGCCTCAGATATTTTACTTTTTTCTGTGAAAATAAATTACTGTGAAAACACACATTAAAAAAATGTTATCAAAACTTTGAGCAATTCTTTTATCAAATGTCTGCTTAGTAGGTGATTTATCATTTCCTGTTCTTATTCTAGTAAATGCCTTTTTGATGATTACTTTTGAGTATTCTTTTACCATGTCCTGAAATTAACAAGGCGAAATGGAAGACTAAACAATTCAGTCAAAGTAAATTATTTATTATGCTTCAATTTCCCCAAGAGGTATTATGATTCTTTGAATCACTAGATTGTAAACATAAAAATTTACCTCCCTCATTTAACACATTGCTGCACACTTTTAAAATTGGTGACCATGCTTAGGAGTATATTTGCGGTCATTTGCAGCAACGTATTAATTTCTTTTCATTGCCTACTTGACTAGATCTACAAATTAATTTGCAATCTAATTTTCACAATAGTTTTACTACCTAGATCTGTAGATCAGCAAATACTATTTTACCTCCACTTCCATATTAACATATACCTAATAAACCTCTGTAGTCCTCATAATTGGATAGTAGAGAAAAACAGTTTTTGATACATAATTTAAATTTAAAGTAGGCAGTGACTTGATGAAGATAGAAAATAGTCTTGACAAACTAAGTAATTTGAATAGATTCCAAATCATATATAAGACTAGATATTGAGGACAACAGACTTTTATAAAGTACACTTTGAAGGAAGAGTCAACAGGGTGAACTGACATACATACAGGGTGAATTTAAAAACAAAGAATCTAAATGTATGCAAAGATTTTGAACTTATGTAACAGAAAACAACACTGCTGTGAAGATGAAGAGTGAATTAAGTTCTAAAAAAAAAAAAGAGACAGTGGCTTTAGAAAATTAATTGTACACATTTTTTGGTATTACTTGTAATCTACTTTCAAATAATTTAATATGACAGTCTTAAACATGAAATTTAATTTCACCATGTATTTAGGTCGTATGTAAATAATAATTTCTATGTCATGTTGAAGTTAAGATTTAGTAACATCTTTCTCAATTATCTCAATACCATCAAGTCGGAATCTACTCATAGCTCTTCCTCTTGTGAGTTTTCAGAGACTGTAAATTGCATGAGAAGATACTGTCCATTTATCTCTCTTGAAGCCACTGGTGGATTTAAACATCCTGAGAGGCTCAGCTTTGGGGTTAGCAGAGTAGAGTAACTCCCTAAGAATCTACTAGAGCTCACTATACACAACTGCAGTGAACTGTATTTAGAAGAGTAGTATATTTTCCAAGTTGAAAGGTTAAAAGTTGTAAAAATATAAAAATAAATGAATAAAAATCATCATGCTATCTTTGCTAGGAAAAAACGAAGAAATAAAGAACATGTATAACTACAAACTTATCTTACATGGTTATGACTAAATGCAAATATCAAATGCAAATATGGGAACTCTGACCTGAATAGCCTTCTGGGAGACATCTGTGTTTCCTGATGCAAGGGCCATGAAAGCATCAATGAGGCCATTGTTCTGGAGTTGATCTGTAGCAAGTTGATGACTTCCTCCTGAAATGTGAATACATTAGCAAAGATACTTCCTAAAACTAAGTATCAGACTTTAGTGATTAGTAGTACAGGAAGTATAATAAATTAATAAAACAGGGACAAAATCTTATTATTAAAGTAGGCTGAGATGAAGCATAAAAAATCATTTCAAAGTTAATTTTAATATATTAAAACTGTTGTTGTTAAGGACTGGTTCTTTCTGAAAATATACGCAAAGTGAGATAAAATTTTACCTACCTTTGTCTCTAAAGAGCACTCTGATTATACTTCCTTCAAGACAGTTTTGTTTTTCTTTTCACATTCCATGGAATATTCAGTATTCTCCACCACCACTCAAATCAAAAGCATCCACTCTTCTGTCACTCATTGTTCAGCTTTTAGATGCAAAGAAAGCAATTGAAAATACTAAGGCTTGGATCACCCGTTAGTCTTTAAACTGGCTTTGGAAAGGTCCTTGACAGCAGATTTTCCCATGCAACATGTCTTTTGATTCCTTGACTGATGCTACCTATGGTGTTGATTGTGGATCCTAGTAAAACGACAACTTCAGTCTTTTCTCCATCTGCCATGTTGTTTCTTATTGATCCAGTGGTGAGGATTTTCGTTTTCTTGAGATTGAGATGTAACCCATGTTGAAAGTTGTAGTCTTCGATCTTCTGCAGTATATGATTTTCGTCCTACTCATTTTCTGCAGGCAAGATACTGTTAGCTGCATAATGCAGGTTGTCGATGACTCTCAAATCTTGCTGGCACATTCTTCTTCATATAGTCTAGCTTCTCAAATTATTTGCTCAGCATACAGATTGAATAGGTATGGAGAAAGGATTACATTAATGTACACCTTTCCTGATTCTAAATCATGAGATATTCCTTTGTTCTTTTCAACAAATGGCTTATTGTTTTATGGCTAGATTTTGCATAAACACAATTAAGTGTTATTCTCAATGTTAGCCAGTGTTTGTTGTAATTCACACAGTCAAATGTCTTTGCACAGCCAATACAACACAAATAGACATTCTTCTGGTATTCTATTATCTCAACCAATATTCATCTCACATAAGCAATGATATCCCTGGTGTTGTACTATTTTCTAAGTTCAGCTACATGTCCTGCAGTTCTCTGTCAATATACTGTCCTGAATATTTTTCCTTTCCTTTTTTTCCCTAGCCATTTTAAAAATAATTGTTAATTACTACAACCTGCAGCAATATCTTGCTTGAATGCAATATTAATGATGTTTGATAATTTTCATGTTCTTCTGGACCAACTGTTTTTGGGAATGAGGACAAATAATGATCTCTTCCAGTTATTTAACCAGGGAGTTGCTTTCCGGGTTTCTCAGCAAAACTAAGTGAATATGTCTAGGGCTGCTTCTGTTTATTGAAACATGTATTCCATCAATTCCTGGGTGTTTTTGGTTTTGTTGGGATTTTTGGGCAATGCTTTCAGTACAGCTGGACTTTCCCCTTCATTACCATCGGTTCTTGATCATATGTTACTTTCAGAAATGATTCTGTATCAGTGATGACTTTTTGGTACAATGATTCTGTGTATTCCTTCTATCTTCTTTTAATGCTTCCTCTTGTTTTGACTTCTTTTCATTCATTTCATGGAAAATTTTAGAGTCTCTTCTGACATCTGTTTTGATACTTTCCCCCCTGTCTTTTGATGACCTTTTACTTGCTTCATGGATGACATCTTTGATGTCCTCCCACAACTCATCTGGTCTTTAGTCTTTAGTGATTGATGCATCATATATAGTTAAATGGTTTTTAAATTCAGTTGGAATACACTTGAAGTCATGTTTTGCTTTTTGTGGACTTGTTTTAATTTTCAACTTGCATATGAATAGTTGATAGTCTATTCCACAGTCAGCCCATGGCTTAGTTTTCACTGCTTATGTTGTAAATCTCTTTCCACAGATGTAGTCAGTCTGATTCCTATATAGGCCAGCAGATAAAGTCCTTATGTATAGTTAGCATTTTAAAAATTATTATTATTAGTAGTAAAGAATAAAACATTCATTGTACAAAATTCTATCATCTATCTCTAGCCTCATTTCTACCACCAAAACTATATTTACCAACTACCAGTCTTTCTTTGTTCCTAACCTTTGTATTGCAGCCACCTATGATTGTTAATGCATCTTGGTCTCATGCTCTGTCAATTTCAGACCATAAAAGTTGGCAGAATTCCTTAATTTCTTCATTTTTGGATTCCATGGTTGCTAAGTCTATTTGACTAATAGTTGAATTAACAGGTATTCATTATGAATATATGGATAATATCCTATTACCCACCATATCATACTTCAGAGTATGTCTTAAAATACTGGTTTTGATGAAGAATACCACACGATTCTTCTTCAATTTGTCATTTTCAACATAGTTAATCACATGATTGTCTGATTCAAAATGACCAGTATGAACTGAGTAATGCCTAGGATATAAATTTTCATGTGTTCTGTTTTATTTTTTGCAACTTCCTATTTCCTAGATTCATTTGGTATGCGCTCCATGTTCCAACTATTATTTGATGTTTACAGGTCTTTCTCCTCATTTTGAGTCTTGTCACATCAGCAAATGAAGGTTCTTCATCAAGTAAAAATAGTATTCCACATGTGTCTTAAAACTACATTGATTTGAGGAGAAAGCTGTTTCTCAGTCACATTTTTAGTGTCTTACAACCAGGCACTATATAAATAATGTTCTATAATGGCCCATACTGTTTTCAAAGGCCTATTATTTCTTAAATGGATGACCAGTCTTAGTCTGTCTTCTTAGTCTGTCTTGGTCTGGAAGCTCTGCTGAAATCTGTCAACCATGGGCGACCCTACTGGTAGTTCATCAAAACTAGGAAGTATAGGAAGCATTAGCAGCCTAGTGGTAAGAACATGTGCCGTAATCCCAAAGGTTCTAACCCACCAGCTGCTCTGAGGGAGAAGGATGGACAAACTCCCACTGTGTGATTCACCATCTCTGAAAATCTGCTGGAGGGTCAGCTCTTGGTCAGTTCTCACTTGACAATTCATAACAACAACAAGGAAGTATAAACTACCTGAGCTAGCAGAAATATATCAAAGGACCATTCAAAAACTCAACTCAAACTCCTTGCTATTAGATCTGACACACAGCTGACTCTTCAGAGGGCTTTCAGAGGTTATGAATTGCTCGGGTGGAGATTTCTCAGCTTGTATGCTAAATCACATGACCATTTAGAGAACTTATTCATTTTACTTAAGATACTTGACAGAAAAAAAATTATTGTTATCAGACCACAGAACAGAGGATATAGCATGTAATAACAAGAACAATGATGAAGGGACTAGAATCTACATGCCGCATTTTTACCTGTTATTTCACTCATCTCTTTTACTGCTGCTTCAGCGCTTGGTCCCAAAGCAATCAAATGAACAATTGCCCCACTTTGCTTCACTTTATCCAGACACATCCTTACAGTGTTGTCCTCCCCATCAGTCAGTAGCACTATTTCAGATCCTTCTGTTCCACTGAACTTCTGTTTAATCACCTGCAAGCATCATTTATGACTTTAATTATCTAGATCAAGTGGACTTGTGAGACCAGAAAAAAATAATCCAGAGTAAATAAACAAGGGTGCCAACTAGAAGAGATAACTTCATTTTCAAAATCATAGACTCTATAATCAATAATCTTTAAAATATAACCATAACTTTTGAAATAATCTTCCTGCTGTAGAGAACATATTTAGATAAAATGATGTGGGAGCAGGGTTGTGGAAAATCCTTCCAGATTTAAATAACCATAACATCTCAGCTTAAGGATGTCAGGACAACCAGACCCCAGAAATATAAACAGAAGAAGGAGAGGAATTCAAGAAATCATTCACCAAAATACAGTAGAAGAACCAGACATTGAATATGTCTCTTTTTTTTAACCAGACTACCTTTTGTCAAAACTTCAGTGCATGAACTCAGTCATGTATACATGTAAAATATCTCTAAACATAAAACCAAATCAATATATCATCTTTCAGAAAGAAAATAAAAATGTAACTAGTGCAAAAATTAAGAAATCTTCAGAGTAACCGTTGGCTATTCCTTTTCGAGGGACATTACACTTTAAAAGTTACAGGGTTGATAAAAGACAGGAAGATCCTCCACCAGATGAATTGAGACAATGACTGCAACAATGGTGTTAAGTGTGTCAGAAATTGTGAAGATGACACAGGATAGAACAGGGTTTAGTTGTTCATAGGGTTGCTAGAAGTTGTACTCAACTTGATGGCACCTCTAACAACAACAATAACAAGAATGTAATTACAAAGAAAATACACAGAAATCTCTATAGGTCTTAAGGTTAAAAACTGATAGGATAGTTTTATTTTACTTTCAACAGGATTAGCACAGAACTAAGAACATAACTGGTGCTCCAAGCATAGAATTACTGAGCTCATGGTGTAGTCTGTAGAAGGTTGCATTGTCAACCAAAGCCTGCACATCTCCAGGAGCTCAAATCCACCAGCCAATCTAACAGAAAACGATGGGCAATATCCTCCTATAAAGATTTACAAACTCAGAAATCTAATACAGGGTCACTAAAAATCAGAATCAACTTGATGACAGTGATTTGATTTAGTAAGTTTCATATGTGACTTCACTCTTCTACCTCAAACTACAGAAAAAATAGTTTGAGAATTCAGAGTTCTAGATATTAGGTGCCTGCAATACAGGATAAAGATAATTTAGCTCTGGATAACAATTCTTTTCTTTCATCTATTCTGACAGCTTTGATTAGTTATACCATCTAGGAACACTGTTTTTAAACGGAATCCAATCCCAAAAGAAATACATACATATATATATAGTCAGCGGTTATCATAGGCATAATACGTATGAGTGGAGGTGTGTATAGATATTCAGAAGTGGTTTGGGTAGAAATCCCTAGTAAAGCTTAGCTGTGAGAATAGTGACTGCCCTCATTATTGTTTTTACATATTTAGAAGCAAAGAACGTATGCTACATATATTGCAGCTTATGAGAACTATTCTGTGATATTTATAAAACTAAACTGAAATGTTGTTATTGTTATTGCTAAGTGCAAGATGAGTGTACCTCACGGTGGTCCTACGACCAACAGACATAAAACTGTCCTATCATGTGCCATCCTCATCATCTCTGACGTGTTTATTGGGAAATATTTTTATAATTACTTAGAATAGAAACTTGAAATATTGCAGAATTACTCAGTTATAGTATCTCCAATCTATAATTACTATACAGAATGAAGATGCAGTTATAACAAAGAGTTCTCTCTCTTTTACATCTTCCTTTTTGCATTTGTTTACTTACTAAGCTCTTTAGTATTTACAGCCTTAGAAACCCTACCAGTCAGTTCAACTTTATCCGACAGGTTTACTATGAGTTGGATTTGGGTTATATGATAAGAAAAACAATGTGCAAGACTCTGGAATATAAATTCTCTGTTCCGGTCAACATACTGTTTCAGCAAGGAATAGAAAAAACAATCAGAGAAATAATTGTAGATAGTCAAGGGTTTTAAAGGAACAGTATAAGGTAATGTGATAAAAATGAATTGAAAAAAGGTGACTTTACTTTGAATGAACACTCAGATGATCTGTGAGGAAGCTGCATTTTATCTAAGACTGTGGTATATATAAAGGAAGGGCAAGGGCAGTGGTTTAGGTAGAAAAAGTAGCAAAGAGGGGAAAATAATTGGTTTATTCTCAGAAATGATTGAAGCTAATCACGCTGAAGAAAGGTGAAGAAAGCGTGATGAATTGTAACCGGTGAAGTAGATAGACAAGGGCTAGATCTTTCAAAGTTTCAGTAAGTATAGTGAGAGATTTCTATTCTAGTTTAAACAATAATAAAAACTATTGAAGGATTTTAAGTATTGGAGGGAGATGACCAATTTCTATTTTTTGGAAGATGACTCATGTTGCCCATTTGAAATAGATTGTATTGTAGGGCTCATAATTGATAGGTTAAGAATTAGGTCTTGGATTAAATAACACAGTATATAAAACATGTGTTACATATAGGAAATGTTCTTTAAATGATTTATTGTTTCCTTTGGGCTACAAAATATTCTACCTTATATTTTAATTGCCTCATTATTAATTTTCTCTGTATCACCTAAATCTCTGATGTAATGATCAATAAATAGCTTTAATTGAATTCCATTTTTTCAATGCGCTAATGAGAACAAAGGAATACACTCACACAAGACTAACATAGAATTGAATCATATAGAACTGAAAGAGACTTGATTGAATCTAGCACAATCTTCTTTTACAAATGAATAATTAAAAGCTAAAAACATATTAACATTAGTTCTTTCACTACAAGTCTGTCTACACAGGGAGTGAAACTAACAATTCAACTGTTCTGTAAAATGCTAAACGTATCCTTAATGTCGGCTTCTCTGTAAACTCCAGGAATGTAGACGTCACATAGTTCCTGCTGAGTCTCAGCATCTAGCACAGACATCCTATAGCACACTGTTGTTGGGGATTTGAATCACCAGCCTTTTAGTTGGGAGTTTAATGCTTAATCCACTATGCTACCAAGTCTCTTCTGTGCCACATACCAAGCAGCTGATAAAGTAATGCTGAATAAATGAAAACATGAACAATTCTATGTGCCAGCTGTTAGTATGTTACTGATGAGGTGATTAGAGGAGCTAAGAAGCATGGTTAAGGTTACAAAGCTGTTAACTGACAGCTGGGGTCTGATCCCAGGCCTTCATGATAAAATTTACCCTCAACTGCCACACAATTCATGAAAGAGGGAGATTTAATGTGTTTGGAGGAAATGAGCAGGCCTACAGGAAGGAGAAAAATTTTGACTATTTGGTAGAATTTTAGCATGCAAACATAGGGAAGAAGGAAAGATTTTAGAGAAACTTCATGAGCAAAGACATGGAGGCAGTTAGCACAGAGAATGAAGAATGCAGAAATTAGTGCAGCATCAGGAGAGAAGAAATGAAATTTGGGGCAGGAAAAATAAGTGGAGGCAGTTTTCTTAGGGAGTGGAAACTTTTTAATAGCACCAGGCCAGTAAGGATTTCTAACTTGATTTTATAGACTATTTGGAGGTAGTGAACATTTGTAGGCAGGATGTAAGTATTAATTATAAATTCCAAATGATCATTTGGATTAAAATAGCACTCATCATAACATTCAATGTAAACTATAAATTCCTCTTGTAGCCTAGTGGTACGGAGTTGTGGTGCCAACTCAAAGGCATGTGGTTTGAATTCACAAGCTGCTCCACAGAAGTAAAATGAGTAGTCTCCTCCTGTGCCATTTAGTGTTTCTGAAAACCTGCTAGAGGCTCAGCTATGGGTCAGTTCAACTCCATGGTCCATAACAACAGCAGCAACAACATGCAACATAGTAAGTTTTTCTAAGTATCTTAAATGTAATTTTTAATTTTATTTTTCTAATACCTTGGAAACTTGTTGTTGTTAGGTGCTGTCAAATTGACTATGACTTATAGGGACCTTATGAACCTTGCATTACCTTGTACCAGCCTCATAATCTTTACCATGCTCAACTGTCACTGTGTCAGCCTGTAACTTGGGGTTGCTGTGATGCTAAACATTGTGACACAGATGTATCAAATGCCGCAATGGTCACCCATGGTGGACAGTGTTTGATGGAGCTCCCAGATTAAGACAGGCTTGGAAGCAGGAGTGGCATCCACTTCCTAACCAGTGTGCCTCTGGAAAACTTCATGACCTCAGAGAAACGATGACAGTTATGTAAGAGGGTTTAGATCTTTTGTTCATAGGGGTGCTATGAATTGTCCTTGACTCGACGGCCCTTAACAGCACCACTTTCTTTTGCTGACCTTTCTTAGCATTATGTCTTTTTCCAAGGACTGGTCCCTCTTGATAACATGCTCAACGTATGGAGGTAGCCATTTTTATTTTCCTATGACTGTGTGAATCATAACAAACTGTGGCTGACTCTGAGAAGAATGGGAATCCCAGAACATTTAATTGTGCTAATGCGAAACCTATACTTAGACCAAGAGGCAGTAGTCAGAACAGAGCAGGGTAACACTGCATGGTTCAAAATTGGGAAGGGTGTACGCCAGGGATGCATCCTGTCTCCA